GAGGGGGGGGTTCTCTCTCTCAGCCAGAGCCTATTCTTTACACGCATGTTAGCCACAGGGAGGGGAGCCACTCCCAACTGGGAAGCAGGAGGCAATGCTCCCTTGGGAAGACAGTCCACCAGGGAGCCTGCAGTGTCCCCCGAGACAAGCCCACGAGGGAAAGTCTGTGCCACTCCCTGCCCCATGTCCATAAATACCAGTGCGTGTCAAAGCCCTCATTCCAACTCCTGAGATTGGTGAAGTACCCCAGAAACAGCCCATAGGGTCCCACAATTCCAGCACTGATCAGGAACACAATGGGCCTGGCAGGCTGCTACCCCTGACTGTAAGTGTGACAGAGAACAATGCCAGATGCTGTGGAGAACAAGACGAGAAGCAGCTGGACAACAGGCCCACAAGCTGGGACAAGATGAAAGGTAAGCTAAAAGGCAGAAGAGCCGTCCCTCCATGAAGCCCAGCTACCAAGTACAGCCTCTACTGGCCACATGTCCTTCACCCAGAGGTTCCCAGGTAGCCTTGGAATGTTTCTGCCCAAGGAGGACGCCCAACCCTGTGTTGAGAAAAGCCGACCACTCAGAATGGGCCATGGACCATGACCAGCAAGCAAGCAGCCTCTGGGGTCTCTTGGCTTCTTGATGCTGAGCCAGCTTCAGGGCACCTCCAAGAAAATGGTCTTCTGGAAGGTCTAGAAATTGACAAGAAAGAATCCCACTCCCAAACTACCTGAGCTTCAAGGAACTGAGGACAGATGACTCAGGATGTGGGGCTACCAGCTCACAGGCTGGGTTTGTACTGTAAGAAGGGCTGTGCTCTAGGAGAAAGGCTGAGCCAAGGATAAGAACTCTGGCTGACCCAGTCTGGCCTGAGGCTCCCGGGGCTGGACCTACAGGCACTGTTGAGGGAGACACTCAGAGGAGCCAGCCGTAAACCCTCCCAGTCACAGGGAGGGGAGGTGAGAAGAAAAAGCAACTCACCTCACCCCTCACCAACCCCGCCTCCTCCTTCCTCTTCTGCATAATATTCATTCTTCACGTATTCAAAATCAGTGTGGAGGTCTAAAGACTCAGCCCCAAATCTGCAGGGGTGGAGAGGGGGGTGATAGCTTCCTAATTGCCATGTTGCAATCTGCCAGTCGGCGCAGGCCGCCTGTTGCCGCCTGCCCTGTATTAAATACCTTCTCCCTGATTACAGCCCATGGGGCATGATTAGCTGCCTCCAGAGAACAAAGTCTGCTTTCATTAGCACTGGGCCTCGCACGCACAGTGAACCTGTACTGTGAACCCACCGAACAGCTGAGCAGAGAGTATAGACATCGACAGATATAAGGAGAAGTGTGTGTCGGAAATTGGCTGAGCAGTAGCTTTTCATCAAAGGACAGAAAAATTGCAGCGTCACTCTTTAACCAGGAGATGGGACACATCCCTGCTCCCTTTCATGGGGATGGAGTACGTGTATGTGACCAGGGGCTTCCGCCATGGTCAGGGATCACCCCTGCTGGAGATGGAATAGGATAAGGAAAAACCTCTTCAGGGTCCGGATTCGCTCCAAACCACTATCCTCACTCCTACTCCTAGCAAACACTCACAAGGAGGCACAGCAAAAAGGTTCAAGGCCAAGAGCCAAGGACGCCCTCTCATTCCCTTCGGCCATCCTGTCTGTGGGTCTGCCCAAGGCCCAGTGCAAAGTCAAAGGTGCAGGAAAAGAGAGATCTGAGCATCCTCTGAGGGCTCAGAGGCCACCCCCTCAACACTGGCCCGGCAGAGGGAGGCTGGATTGGATCCAAAATGGGTGTGGCTCTTCAGGTTTTCAAACTACTACTATTACTACTATTACTACTACTGGATATCTCCTCCAGCTCCCAAAATCTGCACTACGGCCTCACCCCACCCCCCAGTTCAGCTGCTCTGCCCTAGAAAGACCAACTGCCTCCCCGCTCCACACATCACCCGTGCTCTCTTTAAGAAATTATGGCCCCAACAGTTTACCTGGGCTCAGCCCTTTTCCAAACCTAATGGTATGCCTTTCTGCTCACAGCTGTCACTGAATCAAGTAAGTAGGGGACCTTGAGGGCTCAATGAACCCAACCGATCTTCTCAATCATGAAGGGCCTGCATTCATCCCTACCCAAATCATTAAAGCTCTTCATAACTCACCCCAAACATGTCAAACAGAAGTCAGCCATCACTACTGATTTTCAAATGAAAGGAAAACCAGCCCTTCTTCAGAATATTCCAGCTGGGTTGTATGCTGCCTAATTCCCTTAGAACCCAACAGGATATACATAAATAAATAATAAAAATAAATACAGGCCCTTCCGAAAGCCCCTAAGCAACTGCTAAAACATGACTTTCTGATCGCACAGGGACTAGGGCCTCCCCTGCGGGAACTGTCTTCAGCTGTAAGCCCTGGATGAAGAGTCTCTGAACTCCGCAGCCTGGAGGAAGCTGCATCTTTGGGGGCAGGCTATGCACCTGCCAGACAAGTCCAGCTGCTTCTCAAGCCTCTGATATCCAGGCTCTGCCTACAACTGAGGCCCAAGAAACAAAAACCACCACCATGCAAGGGCCAGCCCTGTAACACGGTGACCAGGCAGGGACCCTGGGGATTACCCAGGAGGGCTCCCCCGCCCCCCATTGATATGGCCCCTCTCCACCGGGACTGTTAGCAAACAGCAGAGGACTCCTCGGACTGTTAGCAAACAGCAGAGGACTCCTCCAGCACAGGGAGCCAATCCTTCCAGAGATGGTGGGGCTCAGCCCTCCCTACACCAACCCCCAGGCGCCCCTCCCGCCTGCCCAGCAGCCCCCCGTTTCCGGCATGCAGCTGTTCCTGAGATCCATGAGCAGAGCCCTCAGCAATCCTGGGCGCGTGGCAGGCAAGCAGCCAGCAGCTCACGGGGTGGGGCCTGGGCAGGCTCTGCTGCGGGCTCATGACTAGGCTGGAAGATGCCAGTCTGTGCCCAGACCAGCCCTGCCGCCCCTCCAACAGCCATGCCTGCCACCCCTCAGGGCAAGTACAACCTCACCCTCTTGGGACAAACTGGCCCTGACCTGGCCTTTTGCCTGCTCTAAGTGGAACAGACTGACAGGTTTTTAAAAGCCAAAGTGGGTGGGTATTCTTCTGCCACAGAGTAATCCTGAGGACTTAGAACGAGAGCTGATGACCTTGAGCACTCACCTGGCTCCCCACCTGAGCAAATACCTCAAGTCTATCACCTGACCTCATCCAAGCAAACGCCTGACACGAACAAAGGGGCTGAAGACTACTGATGATGATCCAAACCGCCCCCATCAAAAAGGGGGAGCCAAGACATCCCCAAGATCATAACCAGCCTGACATTAGTCCCCATGCCCTCTCCTAAGGAAGGGCAAAGTGAGGGGTGGCCCTGAACTAAGCCTCCACTCTAGTCCCCTCTGGCTTTCCTGGTCAGAGCCAAGCCACAAACCCCTCCAGCTTGCTAACGCCATACTCAGGGTCCTTGACTGTCTGAGCAGCACCAACCGGCTCTCATATTTACACACTCCCAACCCATGCTAGTAAGCAGCCCCATGCCTTCTCACTCCTAGCCCAAGGATACAGAACCCACTTTGAAGGCCTCAAATTTCCCTATCCAGCCTACCCCATGCTGCACTGCCTCGAGAGTCTGTCTAAAGAATTACCTGTGCAGACAACCAGGGAGCTCCAAGCAATCGGCCTTCCCATTATCTCTGGACCCCCGTCCTCCTTTCCAAGTCTAGGGGGAGAAGGGAGTTCGGCGGGAGCGTCTCCATGGCAGGCTGTTCACCAGTCTCCCAATCTGAGGCCAGGGCCTGTCCGAGGCCCACTGTAGAGTCCAAAGCTGGGTCCTGCCCCCTCGGGCTAAGGTGCCCTACCCAGCTCTTCTCGGCTAAAGTCCACCTGAAGCTCCAGGTGCATAAGGTGGTGGGGCGCCAAACTCCACCCACTCCACTTCCCAGAGTAAGAGTCACCTATGGGAGCTACATCTCAGATGGGTACCTGGTTCTGGGCTCCAGCATTCAGTTTAAGTAGCTTCACTCTTCTGCCCAGGGAATTTCCTACGGCCAGGCCCAGGTTTTCCTCAGCCTCCCCAACCCCAAGGAGAATCCTGCAGCTGATCCTAAATTATATAGTGGGGTGAGGATAATGGGGACACCATTCAATCTTCTCCTCTTAAAAAAGGGAGGAAACCATTCAGTCTATAAGAAAATTCCCATCTGTCTCTGAGGCATGAAAAAGAAACAGCATGTTAACTGAGGGGCATTCTAACTCTGTGGTGCTAAAAGCAGTTTAAACAGAAACTCTACCAATTCTGTTTTAAGAACTGGGAGGCATGACACTGACTAAGGGGAGACTGAGTCCAGCAGCAGGCTGGTAGATGGGCAGGTGGCTGTGCATAGGAAACCCTCCTCTCCTGGCCGTGAAGGGGGCACACCCCCATCCACAGCAAGGAGACTGGGAAGATGGAGGGAGCCCAATGGTAAGGACCAGAGAGCAGAGGGGATGGCATGAGGCAGGCTAGGGGGCGGAGTCATCCCGGATGCGGACAAGAAGAGAGGACAGAGGCACTGCTGGTGGTACTCCCAGGGCAGGTTAGCTGACCCAGGTCAGACTCACGGGGTTAGTGTCTTCTCCCCAACCAGCCAGCTCTCCGGGTTAGCACGGTTAGCGACAGACTCATGGCAGACACCCTCCAGGCACTCCATATAAACAGACAGCTTGGGTTGTGAGCAGCCCAACTCCGGAGCTGCAAAGAGAGAACAGAAGGAATGCCAAGCTGCAGATGCCCAAGGGCACATACTGCACTCTCCTGCCAGGGAAAGCTCCTCTGGACTTACATTAGACCCTCAGGGGCTTTCTCCCATCCAGAAATCATGCCAGGTAAAAGTGCAGCACTCCCCTGCCACCCAGCCAGTTGAGCTCACCAACCCTCAGGTAACAAGGCTCACTGCTGGTTCCCAGAAAGAGAGGTCAGCTGCTGTGGAAGGGTCGCTGCTACCAAGGGGGCAGCTCCCATCTCACCCATTCCCCAAACACTGCTGCCAGGCTATACCAGAGCCCCGAAAGCTGGGGTGTAAGAACAAAGCCACCCACAGCTGCAGCTGCCACCATCCCATGCCTGTGCCAGCAGAGCCACCACGCCACCTCCCACGGGCTCCGAGGAAAGAGGCTGGGAGAGAACTGGCCCAGGGATCAGAGGCTGCAACAAGAGCTGCATGGAAAGCACAGTACAATGGAGCAGTGTGTGACCCGGCTCAGAGCTGGGCCAGTCAGGGAAGGGGCAGCACATTGCCACCTTTCAGTTTCTGAAAGGGCAGGGGGGAGGCTCTTGCCAGGGGGCTGGCCCCAGAGGAACCCACAGAGCAAAGATAAAGGCTATGCTATAGCCAGGCTCCCCGGTGAGACTAGTCCACCGTCTCAGAGTGAGCAATGCCCAGAAAGGCTGGCATTCCCATCACAGCAGAAAACACGCTTTCCTGAAGCCTCCAGAACCAGCCTAAGGGCATTCACAAACCCTAGCTTAGAGCTCTCAAGGCAAATGCAGCCACAGGAGTGAAGCCCCAGAGACCCGGCAAAAAGTGACCCTGGGGCAGCAGGATAGGAAAGCTACAGCAAGTATATCAGCAAACACTGCTTATGCTTCATAGAGAAGGGCAACATGTCAGCAGGGAAAAACACGGAGGGAGCACCCCTTCTGTCTGGAAAGCCCTGCGGATGATGAGATGAGTTGGGGTAGAAAGGGGAGAACAGCAACCACCACCCTGGCCCCACAAGTGGGCCTGGCCGTTTTCCCAAGCTTAGGGTAATAATTAAAGCAGGCAGGAAAAGCCTCCCCTAGGCTGCCCACCTGCCTGCTCACTGGGTTCTTCATGTTGCTCTGATAACAGACCCAGAGCTCAAAAGGCCAAGGCCTGACCATGGAAGGTGAGATAACTATCTAGAAGAGAAGAAAGACAACTCTTCCTGTGGGCTGACGTGTTCCCTGAACTGATAAGAAATCAAGACAGGCTACCTTCAGGATGCTCACCCACAAGAAACATTTCTAAATAATAAAAAATACCAGCTGGGTCTGGTTTGCTTTCAAAAGGTAGGGCAGCAAGTAGTGACCTGGCTAATCCAATGTCTCAGAAACCAGGGCCCCGCTCTTCACTGAACTAGAGGTTGAAAAATCAGGTCATTTTTATGCTCTTCCCAGCCAAGGATGACAGAGGACTGAAGGGGAGAGAGAGGCGTGCAATGGAAATGTTGATATGCACATTGCACTTATATCCATCCTGATTCCCACTCAGCGGCACTCCTGCCGGACAGTTTCAGCTTGGAATAAACAATCCCTCAGAGATGAACAGGGGCCACTGCTGCGGGAACCTGTAGTCAAGTCCCTCCATCCCTCCCAAGGAGTCAGCCCCAGGGGAACCTCCACGCTGGGAAGGAAGCTACAACCAGACTCCTGAAAGGCTCCATCGGGGCGTACTCGACCCTGGGTAACTTGTTAGGTGAACAGAGCAAGTTAAAGAACAGTCTGTGTTGTTATTGATTTGTGTTTATTTTACAGGTGATACATGATGAAGTATGTCTAGAAGGACACAAAAATTATAAGAAGGATACATGATAAATGGTTGTTAAAATGTTAGTTCTCTGTTTTTGGGAAAGGGCTTAGACGGGGCAGTGGGGAGGGTCTTTTTATTTTGTATATTTTTCTGTGTGGTTGGTATTTTATACAAGAACATACATGATGATGATGATAAAAACATACAATTTCTAGACAAACAGACAAAAGCCCTCCATGTGCACTGTGCTTTATCATTCTGTAAGCGTTTTCACTTCCATTACATCTTTTGATCCTTGTAGCCTAGTGAGGCTCACAGAACAGGTAGATTCTCCCATTTTGAAGTGACCGAGAGGACGGGTGACTTAAACCACAGAACTGGGACAGAATCCTGATTCCAATTCCAGTGCAAAGCATGGAAACTGCCTTCTCGCGGGAGCCACAGGAAAGCCACGACAATTCTGTCCTGTCTTTTATGGATGCTGAATGTCACCCAGAGCAGACAATTGGCACTTTCCAGACAGTACCTAACAAAGAAGAGGTCCCACTCTCCTACTAATGGCCAGTCCAGGAGGCCCAGTCCCTTCGAAGGCTAAAAGCACACAACACAATCCCGTCTGGCAGGTTCGCCCAAGCTCCTCTCAAATCTGCTTAACATACAATGCAGCTTATCGCTCCTGCCGAGATGCCATCAGCGAAGACACCCACATTGCAATGTGCCCTCCCAAACCAAAGGACAAGGAGCAGCGCCCAGGGACAACTCCTTTCATTCCACTTTTAGTTACTGGTTTCATCCTTTTGACTGTGTGGGCATTAACAAGATTGCAGTGAATCCTGGCTGTGGGCTTGGAGCACACCTAGATAAGACTAGTGATACAACCAGAAAAGAAAGCAGGTTACAGGGGCACTAAAAGAAGGTTAATGAATAACAAAGAGGATAGGATGCCAGCAGCCAAGGACTTCTTAGAAGATGCTAATTCAGCAAAAAGTATACCGGGGTGTGGGGGAGGGGGGGGGTGTTCACCTCTTCTTGTAACCTGTCCTGCTGGCTTAGGGACATGTTATTAACGTAAAAAGGCTGAAAAGGGGGACAGTTGAAGCTAAGCACCTGGAAGATCATTTAGCCAGATTAACTCAACCTTGAAAAATTAGTAGTAATGCTATTGTCAACACGATCGCCTTTTGTTTGTGCAGGACCTTCCTTCCTAAGAGTTCAAAAGGTTCTGCCAGATAGATCCTATTTGCTTTCGCACTTCCCCCGCCCCCCCTCCCCGCAGAAAGGACTGGGTGGGGTCACAGTACCCAGGAGAGCTCAGCACCTACTATGTAGGGCCTAAATGCTCAGCCTTCAGGAAAAGACCCTGGCCCTAAGAAGCCTCAGTGATAGAAGACCTTACTCCTTTTGGGGGAGAGACAGGTTAACAGCCACTTGCATTAGAGTGCGGTGAGTGCTTTGAGGGCACAGACGTGAGATACTTGGCTGGGGCAGGAGTTTAAGGACCAGGCAAGTAGGCTGCTCTCCTAATAATTCAGACATACCTTCCTCAGCTGATTGTAAACTCACACTGGAGTACCACCTGGCATTATACAATTAAAAGGTCTAGACTTCTGGAAACAACTTCCTTTGGTGTCTGCTGGGAACTGGGGCCCTCAGGACTACTCCCAATCAACTATGCTAAAAATCAAAAGGCAGAGAAAGGACAGCAAGTCTCAGCTACCAGTCCCGCTCCTGGGGAGAGCCTGAGTTAAGCCTGTTCTATGGTACAAGGTCATCAAAGTCCTAAGAAAACTGGGGCCGAAAAGTCTGACTTCCTCGATGGCTACATGTGTTCCACCAGCTATACCCAACACTTTTCCGTTCACAAAACAACAAGAGACAAGGATCCTTCAACTTCCCATCCAGTCATCCACAGCCTTAGTTAGCTACATTACAAATCCACCATCCCCTTGCCCCCACCTGTACCCATCAAGGTCACCACCAATCTCACATCCATCAAAGGAGTCATTACAATACAAGAATGCAGAGAAGCATCAACAATCTTATTTTGCACAATCTACTCACTGACGATGTCCCCAATCTCACTTCTTTTGCTTCATCACAAGAAAGGAGGTTCAATTTTACTCCTACCTCAAAAATGCACCTAGCTACCTGGCAGAAAGCAAAAGGCTTATTCTAGCTTGAATAAAACAAAGCCTTTTCTTATACATTAAGTTTTCTACAGTGGGATTCATTCATTCAACAAATATTTACTGAGTATCTTTCATATACCAGGCACCACACTATGTGTGGTAAACTCGTTATCTCTAATGTTCAATACTCCTGCAAAAAAGATGTCACCCTCATTTTACAAGGTACAAGACCAAGGACCCTACTGGTTAAGAAACTTGCCCACAGTCCCACGGCTGGTAAGTGGCTGAGTCTGGATGTAAACCAGGTCTGCCTAGCTCCAAAATCAGCTTCTATCACACTGCTCACCTCACTCCCAACTCCCCACCCCCTCTCAACCATCCCAACCTCCCCTATCCCCCCACCCACTCCCTGTAATCAGGGAGGGTCAGCTCAGTGAATGAGATGGACAAGTAAAACAGAGAACTCACTACACAACATGGTAAGTGCCAGAACACAAGTTCAAACAAAGTGCTGTGGGGGCCCACAGGAAGAAAGGAAAGCAGGGAAGTCTTCTCGCAGGAGGTGACAGAGGAGCTGGGTCTGAGAGGATGAGCCGTTTCAGAAACAGGATGAGCATTCTGGGAAGAGTAGAGTACACGGCAAAGAAGAATAAAGTAAATGGGTGGCTATAGCAGGTTCAGGAGCAGCAGGAAATCTAGGAACAATGAAGAACAGGACAGATGAAGTAGAGCGGCAACAACTCAGGCTAGATAGAGGGTTGGGTTTGGGCCAGGGTGTAAAGAATCTTTTTGCAAGCCTAGCCAAAGAGTGTGGCCTTTAACCTAAACAAGGGGAACCCATGACACGTCTAAGGAAAGAGACATCATTTTTTATAGGAAAATAATTTTCACAGCAGCAGAGAAGATAGACTGGAGTGGGGAGAGACTGCCCATCACATTTCATACGTCCTATATGCGCCACAGCATTATAAAACACCTATTATGTGCCCTGCACTATCCTAATGGAAGAATACAATAGTGAATAAGACACAATCCCTCTTCTAAGGGCACTTACAGTCTTGTAAAGGTCAGACAAGTAAACAGGCAATTATAATACAGCGTAAGTGTTAAAACAGAAGCAAGCACAGAACACGGGCACTGAAGATGGGGTGGGACCCCAAAGGAAGTGACATTTAAACTAAGATGTGAAGGTCAAAAAGGAAAGGAAAGCGAGGAGGGGGAATGCAGTCCAGACAGCAGGACCAGCGACTGGCTGATGCCCAGAAGCCAGAGAGAACGAGGTAAATTCAGGGAGCTGGTAAGAGGTTGAATCCAGGGGAGAAATGACGGCCCGGTTTACCCAGAGGTCCTTGGCACTCAAAATGTGGTGGTAAGGATGTGAAGGGATTAGACTCAAAGATAATACACGAATAAGAGGTGCTATGAGAAGAAACTGATTTAGACAACCAAAAGAAAACAGTCAAGAGGGAGAATCAGATCAAAACCCATCAGACTTCACCCTGCTGTTTAATCATTTGCTAAAATGTGACCTGAATCCTGAAAGTCGGAGGACTTCTACCAAAACACCAAGGTGTACTCTATGGAGATAACACGTTTCAGCATGCTGCCTGCAGCACAAGTCTAGATAAAGTACACTACCCTGAGACAGGAGGCTCCTAAGTTAATGGAGGAGGGGAGCAGAGACTGATGGATGCTGTCTAACTCTCAAATCACATGTGTCACAACAAACAGAAAAGTTCATCACGGGGTTGGGGCAGAATTCCCAGGGGAAGCCCTAATTCCTGAACCCCCAAATCCCTGAAATCTGGTTAGACACCAGGCACGTGCCTACTCTGGCAGCAGGGCGGAGCGTCATTTACTGAAGAAAAAGACGGGCCTTGAGGGTGAGTTAAAATAGACAGGACATGACTCAGAAGGAGGGAAAGAGTGAGTCTTAAATACAGGGCAAAGGAAAGCCAGTCAATCAAACCTTGGGCACACCTCTGCCCCAAGGCTGCACACAGGCCGCCTGCCTGGCTAGAGGGAAAGAGGCTTGAGCACTGAGCCAGGGTCTTCCTCAGCAACACAAGCAGAAGCACATTTGTTTTCCATTTTCCTCTTAAGCTGGGCGGAGGGAGCTGTTTAAAATGCCATGTATTTTTTTTTCCTGTGTAGTTTGCTACTTGCCATTTTTAAAAGAAAGATGCATTCAGACTGTCTATAAATTTAACACTATCACTACTTCAACTGTTCATGTCAGTAATCCGAGTCAGCAATAAGCCTTATATTTACATCTACATTCACACACACACACACACACACACACACACACACACACACACAAGCATGCACGCACACACATTTAAACCATACTTAGAGTGGATCCTAAGTCACTCTGCTCACCCAACCTAGGCCCAAGATTTTCCAAAGGTCAGGTTAAATCATGGAAATTCCAGATTTGGCTAACACTGCACAGATGGCTCCGTCATCGTCACCACAGTCCCAGCACCAGTTATTTCTGAGAGGAAGAAGAGAGCTGTGATGAAGAGCTCAGCTCCCAAAACATTTTTTAAATAACCAAAAAATTTTACTACAATATGGATATACATCTAACTAACAAAGAAAGAAAGGGATTTTAAAAAGCTCAATTGCCAAAGCCAGCTTGCCTGGGTTCGAATTCCAGATCTGCCACTTACTAGGTGGATGACCTTGAGCAAATTACTTAACCACTCCGCACTTCTATTTATTCATCTGTAAAATGAGGATAATAGTATCTACTTCATATGGTTGCTGTGAAAGTTAATATATTTAAAGCACTCACAACAGTGCCAGGCTCATAAAATGTGCTCAGTAAGCACGATTATTATTATCATCATTCAACTGCAAAGAAGATAATTCTAAGCCTCGCAAATTCAAACAGGAAATCACTGTCACTTTAACATCACTTTAAATCTACATGCAAAGTCTATACTACCCAAAAGCTGTGCCTCACCTCTCTAACATCAGGATAGCAGCCCAAACCAGTACAGCTCCTCCATAGAGAGGTTCAATCATGAAGCATAAATTAGTGCCAAGATCCGACTAACATAATAACAACAAATACGTATTGAAGGTCAGGTACTGTTCTACATACATTAACGTATTAACTTATTTAACCCTCACGACAACTCTATGAGAAAGGTACTCTTACCGAACCCATTTGATTGATGGGAAATCTGAGACACAGAGAGTTACACAATTTTTAAAGGTCACAGAGCTACAAATGGCAAAGCCAGGATATGAACTAGGCAGTCTGGCGCCTGAGTCAGTGCTCTTAACCTCTGTGTGCACGTACCACACTGTCCTTGCTGATCACAATTTCCAAGGGGGCATCCACAAATTGTCCTCAGAAAGAAAAGTTTCCTAACCTTCTAGGAATGGCGTCACAACGAAATAGCATCAGTTCCTTAGGTATCTGAAGGTATTGAATCTGGCCTACTAGCAGTGAGTTAGGTTGGTCTACCTGAAGTCAGGCTTATTTTGGGGCGGGAGTGGGAGCAGGAAGCAGGAGATGGCTAGTGAGGTGTCCTAGATCAAACCAAACCTCCCAGTCCAATCATGGAGCAGATGCCAGCCCTGTAACAGGATTCACTAAGAAGCCTGCTCCCAGCTCTGGCTTGGGCATAACCACAGGACATCAAAGGAAGAGAGAATCATATTCACTGCGTCCTGTGGCTCCAGACCCCTTCCTTCTTCTCCAACCCCAAGTCCACTATCTCTCAAATTACGCTTAGTTTGGCTAGTGAAACTAACTTTTTGTTTTAAAATGTGGTTTGATGGGGAGAACACAAAAGGAAGAGAAGCAAGTGACCAGAAGAGAAAAGGGTAAGTTCTATAATCCTTTCCTCCCATCACCACACTGGTCCAGACTGTAAAGCAGCTCTCAAATATCAGGGGTCTCACGAACAGTGATGTATTATAATAAACACTCCCAGAGCTTTACAGCAGTCAGCTTGACCTCTTACCATAAACAGATCAGAATTTCTTCTTCCTAATTTCAACCTGTCTTTCCTCCTCCTCTGACCCTACCTACCCGCCAAATCCACACCCCCAAAGGAACACTAATGAGCCCTTCTTACCCAAAGAAAAGATCAAAAGAAGTAGACACGCTGCAAGAGCGAACGCAGGAGTTGGTGACAGCAGATGCCTAAATGGTCAGTGAACACCATCAGCAATTTGTTTTCTCATGACTCCCCACCATCTGTCACCCACAAATCTCCACTTCAGGCAGGATATCAAACTGAAGGTGTGATGGGGAGTTGAAGATACAGTGAGCATGTAGGAAACTGCTTGTGACAGGGCTGTGTTAAAATATTTTCAGCCTGATCTCTAGGCCCTTGCCCACGTTCCCTTGCACAGGTGAAGGCACAGAGGCGAATTCTACACCCGACTCTTAAAAATCAGCAAGCAATGTAAGCAGAATACTAACTTAGGACCACAGACAAAGGGTGACCTGTATAGAAGAGCGCCCTCCTCAGATTAACTGATTCTCAGCATCATTCAGAGCTCATGCATCCTGCTTCCAGGGAGCATGCCAGCCTGTCACCGGAGGCCACCTTACCCGCTCTGGGGTTGGGCTTGGGTAAGTCGCTACCTCTTCTTCTTTCCAAGCAGGCACTGTGATTCTTCCAGTCCCTGGGGCCCCTGAGTCTTCAGCTGAAATTGGGGCAGATGCTGCTATAGGAATTGTGGAAAGGCTAATCTAAGTCTGGAAGAGGGTCATTTGGCTGGTTTTAGTTCCTTCTTTATCAAACCTGCCAAGCATCCTCCAGGTTTCTCTTTCCCCCTTCCCCACTATACTCCTTCAAGGAAAAGACCCTATTCCTCTCCCACCGGCCTGGCACAGTTGGGCCTCGGTCACAAACTCCAGGCTTCTTTGGATTAAGAGATTCCCTTCCAATCTGTGATTCGGCTTCTCCAGGGCCTGCACGCCTACTTCTGGTTCCCCCGCCCTGGACCCCTCCCCCAAGGCTGCCACTGGATCCTAGGGCCCCTCCCTTCCTACCCAATCTCCCTTTTTTTCTCTCAAACCTCCCATCATTCCGTTTCCTCCTCTCAACCCAGGAGCTAGTCCCTCCTCCGCTCCTACTCCTATCTAGTGTTCCCACGATGCCTCCTAACTCTAGCCTCCCGGCCCGACTACTACAATCCCACAACAAACTTTCTGCCGCTGCCCGCTACCTTCAGGCCGCCATCTTGCCGCGGGGCAGGCCGGGTAGTGGCCACGGCCTCGGGAATCCCCACGCACTAGGCGCCTTGCGTCACCGGGGGGCGTGGCAATGGGGCGTGGCCTCGGGCTGAGCTCCCGGTGATAGTAAAAAGTAGGGATCTCCTAAGAGTGGGGTTCGGTGGCCTGGCCCCTGGAGAAGGAAGGGAGTGTAGGAGTAGGGCAATAGTGGGAAGGATTGAGAGATTCTGGTACTCCCCCCAAAAAAAAAATAAGAGGGGGAGGCGCGTTGGGGAAACAGCACAAAAATATGGTGTGAGAGTCTTAGCACTGTTTCTCCATCACCCAACGAATAAAGGCAGCTTCTCAGGTTGTCACGCAAAGATCCGAATGACCCAGCCTCTACCACACATTCAGCGGCCTCATTTTCCACCTCTCCTGGGGACTTCAGGTTCCCAGCTGTCCTGTGTTTTCAGGCCTTAACATGTCCAAGCCTTCTCCTCCCCTGGCCTTATCAATGCCTACTCCTCCTTCAGCCCTCAGCTCAAATTGTTACCTCCTCCAGAAATCCTTCCCCATCCCTCCCAGACTCCTTTTGCTGTTCATCTCTAGTCACTTTCACATAACTTCATTGTAGCTATCCTGTGCTGTGGTTATTTGTTTATATGCTGTATCCCTCACTAAGCTGATGCTCCTTCAAGGCAAAAACTGTCGGATTGCATCTTTGTATTCCCTAGCAGGTGCCTGGCACACAATAAATGCTTAATAAATAGCATGGCATCCATCCTCTAATGCATTAAGCATACTTCTGCTTCAGGGCTTTTAGGTTTGCTGTTCCCTGTGCCTGGAACGTTCTTCCTTTAGATATTCACTCCCATGCATGTTTCTACTCAAATGTCACCACCTCAGAGAAGACTTCCCTGGCCAACTCTATCTAAAACAGCATTCCCAGCCACTGTCCCTTACCCTACCTTAATGTTTTCTTTCATAGTACTTATCATTATCTGACATATTAAATATTTCTTCATTTGTTTATTGACCATCTCCCATTATAATGCAAACACCACAGGTCTGGGACTTTTTCTCATCACAGTAGCCCCAGTATCTAAAACAATTCTTAGCATAGTAGGTGCTCAATAAATGTTTATTGAGTGAATAAGTGGCATGGAGATGACTGATAGAGGGGTTTTGGAATATGGAGGTGGGGAGGAAAGGTAAAAAATACTACAAAATAGGAAAATGCATTACAGGCCCCAAAAGTCAGACTTGGCCCTATCAGGAATGGTAGCAAATACAGAACTCAGACTCAGCAAAGTAAGGAGTAGAATGAGAGCCAGGTGGAACTCGGGAGGCGGGTCCACAGGGACCAGAGTCCTCCTGGGAAAGCCATAGTTCAGGTAGAAGAAATGGGGTGGGCTGGAGGCCGAGGAGTTTACTCAGATCTAAAGACACCATCCACCCTGAGCCCAGGCCTCTCTTGGCCAGATGGTTCCGGAGGAGCCTCAGCATCTGTTCCTCTGTAAATTATCCAGGGCTCCCTCCTGCCTGTCCTCTCTGGTGACAGCCGGAACAATTGTCCAGGAATTCCATCTGCTCCCCTGTCTTTCTCCCTCCCACAGCTCATCAACATTTCAGAGCAGAGAGGTGTCCCATTTCCCTGGGTCTAGGGATGGGAGCTGGGTCTGTCCCTTGGTGGAGCTGGTCTCAAACACTCACTCATCCACCAACACACACAAATAAAACCTCAGCAGAGACTCACAGGTCCCCCGAGGGAGGGGTCAGCCATCTTTATTTCCCACCCTGTCCATGCTTTCAATCCCATACAACTTTTTATTATGATTAATTTGATAAAATTTCACTAAATGAAGCAATCATATTGGTTCTTGCAGAGCTTAAATCAAGGGCTCCCAATCATTATACATTTCCCCATGTTTCCCCTTAAATTGTCCATAACAGTACTTTTAAAATGTGACATTCTTTGTGATATAAGACCACAATCTCAGATTTTTTTAAAATATGATGTTTACTGTTTACTAAAAGCAGTGTGCCTGAAAGAAGAAATGAGCAAGCTGGTTTTCTTTTCTAAATAGGAATAACCCCCAGATCCCCTCTCTACCTTCCCTGAAATTGTTTTGCGATCCACGAGAGAGTGAAGCTCATGAACTGTCAGGTAAACAGATTTATGGTATATAAATTTGAAAAGTGATCCAAGTTCCTATTTTGTAAACAGGGAAAGTATAGGTAAACATAAATATGCCTTTGAAAAGAAAAGAAGTCACAGTGCAGGGTATTTAACTTTTAGGATATGTGAGACTGGTTACTAGGAAGGGACTGGTTTGCCTCATCACTCCCGCTGTGGATGTACAGATTCATGCATACATACCTATATATTCCTCAGACCGCAATTACGCAATTGTTCGTCATCACTGTAAGAGAACTGTGAAGAAGGTGGTGAAGATTGAAGATCTCCTTTAGGATTTCAGGGTTTTACGAAGTAGCTGCAATTTGCAGAAAAGTCAGGCTCACTGCATTTCAATGGCAGTTTTCATATGGTTGTGTCTTAGTGTCCGCAGGGCTACAGTGGCTGCAGGGCCCACCTGCACAAGCATGGTCTGGTTGTGGAGTCCAGGTTTGGCCTGACAGACTATGTAGGTGGAAAGGGGCCTTGGAATAGAAGTGGGCCTTGGACAAAGATAGCAATTTGAGTTCCCAGTGTTGGAGGAAACTACTAAAGAGTTGAAACCATCCTAGGTTCAGCCCCATAGTCCTTTGAACTGTTCATCATGACCGCAATAGGGCCTTAAAGCTATATGCAACTTTTTGGTTGCAATTGACAACATTTACTAACAGTTTGAAGCCAGGAGGCTGCCTATATTCTTATTTGCGACCCTGATTGGACATGCTGAACCCTAGTTACATGATTGTTTTGACAATGATTTCAAAACTTCAAGAGGTATTAACTTAGTCTGCTTCCTTACATTTAAGTTATAACATCTGATTCTTCTATTAATAGAAGAACACAGCTGCCACATTGGGGGTTAAGCTTTTATTATGTGTAAATGTCTTTTTCCTAACTCAGAATGTTGAATTTTATGCGCGCCTAAGAAGTGTAATTTTAAAGACCTTGAAAGTTGGTGGGATCTCGCACTCTTTAACATTCTTAAATCCACTTAACTCTTAAAAGGTAATGAAGGCAGCAACTCAGACAAGTATTTATACACTCATCTATGCAGTAATCCTATTCATCCTATTCATAGCAGCATTATTACAATAGCCAAAAAGTGGAAGCAACCCCACTTTGACAGATGAATGGGTAAACAAAATGTGGTATATACACACACAATGGAATATTTTTTAGCAATAAAAAGGAGGGAAATTCTGACACATGCTACAACATGGATAAACCTTGAGGACATTATGCTAAGTGCAATAAGCCAGTCACAAAAGGACAAATACTGTATGACTCCATTTATATGAGGTACCTAGAGTAGTCAAATTCATAGAGACAGAGAATAGAGTGGTGGTTGCCAGGGGTTGGGGGAAGTGGGGATAGGGAGCTGTGTTCAATGGGTACAGTTTCAGTTCAGGAAGATGAAAAGCTTCTGGAGCTGGATCATGGTGGTGGTTACCCAACAATGTGAATGTTGGCAATCAGTGTGAATGCCACTTAAAAATGGTTGAAATGGAAGCTTGCCGGGTGCAGTTGGTTAAGAGTGCGAGCTCTGAGCAACAGGTTTGCCGGTTGGATTCCCACATGGGCCAGTGAGCTGCGCCGGAGCTGAGCTGCTGCTGAGCTGCCAACAGGTGGCAGGATGGCTCAG